CTTTTCTGGAGAACACGCCCACTCGGAACTCCTTCCACCAATCAGGAAGCACTCTGAGGGGAGGCGGGGCCTGAAGGCGTTCACACCAAAAAGCTGAAGTTTGGGGGTGTGGGCGTGGCCTAACATGAATACGGTCATTCATAAAAAATCAGAATTACTACATTTCAAAGCGGCCTCGGCTGCAGGGTGCTTATTTATTCATGTATGAGTCCAAATAATATTTTTGATGCTTTCAAGCAGTTTTCAAACACTCAGCAGCTGCTGGTGGATGCTGCAGCCGGACCGAGGAGGAGTTTCTCCTCCCAGGTATTAAAAACATAGATTAAATCTCTATTCTGTCTGTAATCTGTAGTCCACACACACACACACACACACACACACACACACACACACACACACACACACACACACACACACACACACACACACACATTGATCGGTGTGGGTCTCAGAACATTACAATAACCTCTTCGTTATTACACAGAGCACACGGTTGTTTATGTTGACTGGGTGATTCCACAGATGGACGTTTGCAGGGAACGCGTTGTCCCTTTTGATCGTCCAAAAGTGTCCCTGGGACTGTAGAAACTGGCCAGGTGTGTTTACGCTGTACAGACCACTGGCAGATGCATCAGTAACACTGCAGTTTGGATGAACTCGGTTATAATCATTCTAAACTCTGTTTATCCTATACTAATGATTTAAATGAGATAAGACGTGATCATGAGAGCAGTCGTGATGAAACTGTCTGCCATAGGAAGTAGAAACTCCATCGGGGTAGAAGGCAAGATTACAATTTAATGTGGTAGAATTTCATTTCCCTTCATCCAAAAGCAGCGGTTGATATTTTTGTTTCAGAACCGCCGGACCGACTTTATTTTAACCTTCAGGCAGTCATCATGAGCTGTATGCACAAACGTGATCAGTTGTTGCAGTCAGCCTGATCAAAGATGGCTGCCACCACCTATCCGTGTTAGCAAACGCAACAATTATGATAAATGAAAACGTGCAGCTCCAGCGTAACTTAACATCTCCAACATCGAAGGTGGTTCAATGGAACGTACTGGTGAAGGTTCTCAGTCATCCAGGTCATGTAATCCAAAAGGTAAGCTGTAGCTGTCTGTTGTTGCTCAACGAGCTGAAACTACCTATGAATACCCCTTCTTACCCCTTGAGGAGTTGTTAATGTCATTGAGCCCTATTGTGTGGGAATCGTTTTATTTATTAGACGCAGAAGGGTGTGACCTTTAAAGCTGTCTCAGGCGTCCTCCCCGGTTGTCCTTCAACTGAGGAACTAATTCAGTTATAGTGGGATTATCATCATAGAGTTCCTTTAAGCCCAAACTTAATCTCCAGTGCACCGAAGCAGATTCTTATTGCAACTGAGAGTTGACGATATTTCATCGTTTAAAATGTTGGTGGTTTGCTTTTGGGTTTGACGTGGCTAACAATTGTCCTGGCGTTGCCGTGTAAGAGGTTCAAAGAAAATCCTGCTGCAGCCAAAATAAAAGCCAAACTTAATCTTCAGTCTTCAGTCAGACCTGAACCTGAACCTAAACCCTCTAACTCCGCCGAGTCCTTCATTCCACAACGTACTGCAGACAAGAAAAGAACGCTCTGTTTGAGCTGTCAGTGCCCTTCTTTGTTTTTCTTGAACCAACTGAGTTTAGGCCGTGCTTGTGCTCCATGAGAGTCTACGCTTTCACATCAAGTGTTGATGTTGCTGATTCAGAGGAATGACGACTTGTCTGGGGTGTCACGTCTTGGCCCGTAGACTCGACACGCTTAGGGTCACACTAACAGGTAGACACGCTCCTTTCAGAGGGAATTTTCAGTCAGCGGGTGATGAACAGGCTTCTGAACAACATGTAGATACGTAGTCCGACCACGACCCGTAGACAGAGCTCAGTCGTGGGGCGGAGTCCACGGTTGTCTTCCAAACGGTCTCTAGATGCAGCTGGACAGCGCCATCACCAGTCAGGGCAAGGAACAATGTTACGTGTTCGTCGCCACGGAAATCAGTCACTAGATGACCCGCACTTGTATAGCGCCTCTCAGAGGAAGGACTCCAAAGCGCTTTACACTACGGTGTATCATTCATCCATTCACACACACACTCACACACTGATGGTGATGAGCTACGATGTAGCCACAGCTGCCCTGGGGCGCCACCGGTCCCTCCGACCACCACCAGCAGGCAAGGTGGGTTAAGTGACTTGCCCAAGGACACAACAGCAGAATTCTCTGTCCGGAGCCGGGATCGACCCTGCAACCTTCTGATTACTGGACAACCCGCTCTACCTGTGGAGCTACTGCTGCCCCCAAGGCAGGCCATACACCTTCATTTTTCCAGTTCCTCTATCTGCTCACGTCTCGAAGTCTAAATCGTCCCATGAGGACGCCAAAGCCATTTCAAACGAGCGCTGTTTCTGAGCTGACACCATCATTGTAGTTTTTTTTGTCAAAGCTCTGGTGTTTAACCCTCTCAGGCTCAAAATAAGTTTTGATAAAAAGATGAACGACTGAGTCCTTCAGGGGTACTTCTGAGTTAAAGCATGCTCATGAAACACGCATGTGGAGTAACCAGGAAGGTTTTAACGTTGCACATCTGCAACACCTGCCTCCAGAGGGTTCATCCGCCTAACGACTGACTCCACTCAAACGTAGAGTGCAGACTGGCCCGACCTGAAACTGCCGGGATGCGGTAGACCTGCCAAGGCCGTAATGATGGTGACAACAGGTGATTCGGTCATTGAATCAGGTGTGTTGGAGCAGGGAACCAAGTAAAACATGGAACCCGTGAGACCCAGGGTTGGAGACCCCTGGTGGACAATGAATTCCAGTGTAAAAAAAAAAGGGGGGGGCAAAAATAACATAAATCTAACAGCAGTATTTGGCAATAACATCATAGCATAAATTATATTCCTTATACGTTTGCTTTTGAATGGATCCCGTGTGTGTCCCAGTGACGACTGACTGGGGGGTGATCTGGAGCCGGCAGTCATGCACGTATACTTACAGCTACTAACTCCTCAGAAGCATAAAGAAAGAGAACATGCATGCATCAGTAAGTTACACCAAACCTCCATCCTCCATCCCAACAATCCATCTCTTTCTTTCTGTCCGTGCATGGAAGTGATGTCATAGTCCAACGTAAACAAACCAAGCACAAAACCTGCTCTTATTTAGAGGGAAAATGTTTGTTTTGTTGCTTCTGCGTTGAGTTTCCATTGATGCATCAAATAATTTGTCCTTTCTACTTGGCTCCTGTCCAGAGGACCAACCTGCAGAATTTCCTGCACACATCAAAAAGACGGCATTCATCATAACGCCTTCCATTCGGAGTCAACAGCACACAAGTCGTGATGGCTAAAGTGACACAAGTCTGCTTCACGAGTTCACTGGAAAACTCCCGCTGTTTTACGGGAGTGGTTTGGTGGAACGAGGGCGAAAAGGCAAGCTGGCTGCAGGTGAGACCTTCAAAAACAAGCCAGTGGAAATAAACAACGGACCGACTGGAGGCTGGGGGCAGCGAGAGGCGTCCCGCAGGGAAATATGGAGCAGTTAAAGAAAATCCCAAAAGAAAAACACTGATTTGAGGAAGAGTTGGTGAGAAAACTCGAAGCGACCTGAAGACAGGTGAGATGTTTGTCTAGGACAGACCCCGCCACTCCTGGTTAGCCTCTGAGCCTTTACAGATGTTGGTACACACACAGCTGATGTGACACCAGTCATCTGAGGCAGTTCATCCTTTTAATGGGAAAGCGGTTGGTGCTTCAGAGGAAATCAAACTTGATTTGAGGCATCTGTTAGAATGAAGGACATGCTCTTTAGCAACGTGAAGAAAAAGCTTTCTCCATCTTTTAAAGAGCAAGTCACCCCCACATCAACATCTTTTTGCTGATAAACTATATAAACGAGTGTCTGATCGTGCTGTAGACATGTGTAGTCAATAATTCGGCACTTTAGTGCATCTTAGTTAAAAGTAGAATATTCTGCCTAAAACTGTCAGTGTTGCACCGTCGTCAGGTAAAAATCTAGCACTGTATTTGAAGTTAAATCTGCCATCGCTGTTGGCTAAGAGGTACACTATGATGTTAGATGGTACATTATGATGTCACAGTGTCGTGAGTGTGTGTATTTGGTAGCGGCTCCGCCCTCTCGAGCTGCTAGGCTACAACGTTTGTTGCATTTTTCAAACAGGAAGTGGGAGTTGAGTAACAATCTGGTAGGGGGTGACTTGCTCTTTAAAAAGGAAACAGACGTCTGTTTGTTTGTTTGTTTGTTTGAAAGTGAACCTGAGAAAAACATCTGACTTTCGGACATTTCTGTCACGTTTCGGTGTTGGTAGGACCCAAAATGCAGAACCCAAGATGACACGAGGCAGATGGTGATATTAGAAAATATCCTTTATTTGGATGAGCTGAGAACAAACAAAAATAAATCCAAAGGCAGGGAGCCAATAAGTCCAAAAATATCCAATTTCCAAGCTAGAGACAAAATACTAAAGACTAGAAAAGACTCAGGTTCCAAAAGCTAGAGACTAGAGAAGGCTTGACAGAAATACCACAATGGACCGACACAAGACAGAGACAAGACAGGGCTTAAATACACAGGGAGGAGTAATTAGGGGAAATGGCAGCAGGTGTGTGGGGTGAGGGCTGGAGGGAAGACAGGTGACAGTAATTTATCTAAATGGGGCAACAGAACCAAAGGAGGACAGCTAAACCTAAAACACAAAAACTAAACCTAAAGACTGAGGGAAGGACTCACACACACACACACACACACACACACACACACACACACGGAACTGGGGAATGGACATGCACACACACACACACACACACACAAACACCGAACAGGGGGCAGGACATGCGCACACACACACACACACACACACTTACCCTGAGTTGGGGAGGATGCGCGCACACACACACACACACACACACACTCACACACATACTCAGAGCTGAGGACAAAGAGGCTGGAGCTGACCT